ACAGAAAACTCGTAATTTTGTAAAACAAAGACATGTTAGAAACGCTCCTCTATCGTGTAATTTTAGCAAGAAAGACACATAAAAATCTTGAAAAAATAATAAGTTAATGGGAGAGAAGGCAATCGACAGATAACTGGTAAGTAAAGCTATGGACTGAGTTCTCACTCTAAGCCAATACCAGTAATTTGAAGGTGAGATTTATCAAGTGCGTGGTACTAAAAAAGGGAGGGAGCAAAAAATCTAACAATGTGGAAGTTAAAAATCTTATTTTTGTAGATTTCACTCGCATGAATTAAAATTCGAATAATACGTTTGAAAGGAGCGTTTGTGTCTTGTCAAATAGCTCAACTTAGTGTCGTCTATTAAGCAAAACTTAGTGACTCAATTTACTTGATAAATGCTATTACATGGAAGCAGGGGCGTAGTTATCCCTGGCTAATTGGACACCCTTCGTTGGAAAATTACACTATTTTTATAAATAAAATAATACTTTAAATGGTTAAATAATACATTTTGAACACACTTGAAAAAAATAAAATTTCTTAACTCAGTGATTTTAGTCGTTAAGCTCAAGCTAAGTCCTTTGCAACCTGATGTGCCCAAGTTCAAATCCCCTAAATATATTATTTTACTTTACATTTTTTTTTCATTAAAAAAATTAAATAAAATTTAAAAGTAATTATCCAATTTAAATTTAATAAGCAAATTCCAAAAACTGAAAAGCCTCCATAAAGAATTTTTTTTTTAATATTACTTGTTTTATTTTACTCTTTATTTATGGTTTCTCGTTATTAGTCATCAGAAGTTCGTGAAATTTTAAAGCATAAAAGGGATGTCACTCTAAATTGAATTTTCTGTCCTTTTATTTTTGTCTCAAACAAACATGAACATTAAAGCTAAAAATTATGTAGTTTGATTTTAAATTTTTTGATATATTTTTAAATTACAAAAATTAATCATTAATGTTACAAAGTTTGATTTACAAAATTTAAGTGTACCTATTCATTAAATTATTTTAACAGCTATTAAATTTTTGAAAACTCTTCTTAAAATTTCTGACTATGTCACTGTTTGGAAGCTGATGCTTTATCACCTACTTAAGAAAAAAAAGATTAAGTATTATATATGAATTGATTTTTCAGTAGAGCATGGAAATATGTGATAATAGCGTCTGCATAAATATGGAGGAAGTAGTTAAACAAAAGTGATATTAACGCCCACATAGTTATTATCTCTTTAAAAAACAAAAATAATAAAGCTACTTGAAAAAGCTTCACTGCATAAAGAATTAGATACACAAATTTTACAAGACTGATGGTCCTCTACAGAGAGACTATTAAATCTTTCCAAGAAAAATATGTTAATTTTACTCAAATATATCAGATTTTCACCCTCAATTTATGTGCCAAACACATCAAGTTTTTTACTCAAATGCACCAAATTATTACCATCAGTTTATGCAACAAATGCACTAGATTTTTATAACAAGAAGTGCATCAAGAGTGCAGAAAAATTAGAAAATGAATACACCATATATCACAAGTTGCCAATGGCAATTACAAGCTTCTATCATTGATGAATCACAATATAAAACATTTAGCAGATACTAAATCAAAAGCTTCAAGGGAGAGTACAAAATTTCCATTTATAAGTAAAATAGATGAAAACTAAACTTGACAACCTTTCAGAAGTGTTCCTCACAAAGAAGGTATCGACAAAAGGGTAGATTTGTTGTGAAGTCTACTAGTTGAACATTGAGAACAAAGAATATATAGTTCGAGAGCCAACTTAATTCATAAATACTTTACATGAATTGCATGCACATATACTATCCACAAAGGAAATAACGAACACAATTTACATAGTTTATTTTCACAATCCAGAATAAATTTACCCATAAATTTCTAATTCAAAAACATATTGAAATGCAAACTATTACCTGGAGTTTGCGTGCCACAATGCTTCTTGTATATCCTTCATGATTCATTGTGATACTAGTTGAACTCTAAAGCTATTAAGAATCAACTGAACTTTGAATAGAAACTGTTGGTAGTAATCATGTGTTAACACTATAATTTCATGTTTGTCTCAATGCGTACTTCAAATAGCTAACCAACTGAGTAATTAAGATTTCCCTCGGAAGGAGGATCCTCTAACAATTCTTTTTATTAACAAATGAGCTTATGAAATGATATTTTATTTACCGGATCATCCCACCAGATTCTGAAAATCTATGTCTAGACATACATGTATATATATATACTTTCTCCAAATTGTGTGTGTTATCAAAAGTACTTTCTCCTAGTTTTTTAATAACGATTTACTTTTATGTGATGTACAATATCTGATCATTACTCAAGAACAAAACAATCCAGGTAAAAGAAGCTTAATTTTAATACAAACAAACTCCAAATTAGTGGTCATAATCTACTCTCTGTTGATGAAATTTTGGTTATGTACAACTATCTAGCTGCCAAGAAAACATTTTCCTTCTATTGGAGAAACCAAAACAAAAGGGGTTAAACTAGTGGCAAAGGTATTACATTTTCTTAAAGAAAGAAAGAACAATTGTCTTAACCCTCTCAATATTACATCAACTTTCCACTATACAACATACTCTCAATTAACCAAAAGTTCCTCTTTTTTTTCAAAATGTCATAATCTTGACTTGAAACTAAAGATTCCCTAGAAAAATGAGATCACATAAAAATCAACAATTCTTAAAAATTCAATCGATTACTGTTAATCTCTTGGTATTTTGAAAGATGACAAATTTTTATCAAAAAGGTAACTTCAACATGTTCCAGCGAATATGTTCCAGTGAGTTCAAGGTTGCATACGGGATACATGTTTCAGAAAAACCAAGTTGAAAAGGGAATCATGTTTCAGCAAAACCAAGTTGAAAACAGAATTGGCGTTCAACAAAGTTTTTCTTACTTATTTAAGGAAAATTGAAAATATTTTCTTACTTATTTAAGAAAACCTTATACGTAAGTTTTTCCTGGCAGTTTTCCTAATTAAGAAAAAACTGCTGAACAAGTTTAAATGTCAAAGTCGAATGAAAAAAGGGAAGTTTGACGTAAAGAAGTATTTCGAGTTATTGAAGCAGTGAAGACAAAGTTGTGTTGAACAAGACTTAGGCGAAGATGCGGCAAAGTTAAAGTTGATGAAGGAGTTGAACTGGCTGCTTAGTACAAGTTCATCAACGCAGACATCTATTTAAGGAAATTATGTTTTCTTAATTAAATAAGGAAAGTGTGATTTCTTATTTATTTAAGAAAATTATGTTTTCTTATTAAACAAGGAAAGTATGCCTTATTATTTATTTAAGGAGAAGTTGCTAAAGTTTTGTTCAACAAAGATTTCTTGAAGTTAATATGCAGTAATTGTAGAAACGGAGTCCAAGTAGAAGTCAACAAGGATTTGTAGAAGAGAAATACAAGTTGAATCGTACAAGGATTCGTTGAAGTTCTGATCTATAAATAGGGAGCTATTTGCATCAGAAAATGTTGCGCACTTACATAGAGAGAAGATCAAAACACGATCAAGAGGTTTGAGAGTATTTTGAGATTTATTGAGAGTGTTGCGATTTGTGAGAAAAAATTGTAAGATTGTAATTAAGAGTTTTGATTACAATCTGAGTTTTGTGAGTAGGAGTTGTTCGATAAGTTGTAGAACTTGAAGAACATTAGAAGATATAAAACTGATTTTTTTTTGTATTTGGGTAGCTAGAAATTAGAGTTTATAACTTCTTAGCTAAGAATTAGAGTTTTTAATTCCTCTAGGAATTAGAGTTTATAATTTTTAGATTATATAGCTTTGTAGTCGTTGTATTGTTTGAAGTTTATAAATAATACAAAGGGTTGTTGGAATTTAATTATCGTTAAGTTTCAAACAAACAGAAACACGTTGTCTGTACTTGTTCCTTTGAAGAATTCAGGAGAGTGGAATTTCAACAATTGGTATCAGAGCAAGGTTATCTTTAAAGAGTCTATTAACTAAAGATAAGAACATTATGAATTCTTCACCTCCTCTTGGGCATGGTCAAGGGCAACACATCAACAGACCACCATTATTTAATGGAGAATACTACTCTTGATGGTAAATAAGGATGGAAGACTTCATTCAAGCTAAAGATTATGAACTATGAGTTAGAATTACTAATGGACCGTTAACTCCTACTATTACTACTATTACTGATAGTGAAGGAATAAGGTACCTAAACCTACAGAAAATACGGAGAAGCTGACTACAAGATGCTAGGGAAGAATGCAAAAGCTGAGTGCATTCTCGTATGTGGACTAGGACCTAATGAGTTTAGCCGCATCTCTAGTTGTCCCTCTGCAAAACAAGTATAGGACACTTTACAAAACGCTCACAAAGGTATAACTCAACTTCGTAAATTCAGAATTGCCAGACTTTGTTCTGAATATGAAGCCTTCAAGATGAAATCCGGAGAATCACTTCAAGATATGATCACCAAATTTACCATTGTTGTAAACAAATTAATATTCTTGGGCAAAGTATACACCACTAAGGAATAGGTGGACAAAGTACTAAGGACTCTGCCTAGATCATGAGAAATAAAAGTTATTGCAATCAGAGAAGCCAAGAATCTAACAAATATGACTTTGGATGAATTAGTAAGAAATTTGAAAACTTATGAAATGAATATTGACAAAAGAGGTGAAGGAAACAAAGAGAAAAATCTTGGATTTACAGCAACTGAAAGTGATGAATCGAATATATATGATGATGATTTGGCATTGATAAGTAGAAATTTCAAGAAATTCTTTCAAAGAGGCTTAAATTCTGGAAAAAAAGGTAACACACATTAAGGAAAAGAATACAGAGAAAACACAAAGTGAAGGATGTTTCAAGTGTGAAAAAGCTGATCATCAAATTAAGAATTGTCCTATGTGGGAAGTAGAATGGAGAAAACAAAGAGTTGAGAAGGAGAGCTTTTAAACAAAAGAAAAAATAAAGAGAATGAGCAAGCGATGTATGCTGCCTGGGGAACATGTTCAAAGATGTATGACGAAGATGAGGAGGACTTTGCTTTGATGGTCATAGAAGAATTAGAAACTGAACCTGAATTAGAATCTAAAGGAATGGAGGTAAATCTTTTTTATTTAAAAGATAAACTAGTAAAGTTCTCTAAGAAAAAACTATCCTTCTTATCACTCACTTCCATAGTTACAATTCAAGAACTAGTAAAAACCAAGAGTCGATTGCTTGTTTTCCTGACTAGTTTAAAGTTTGAGTATATTGATCTTGAAAAAAGTCAATTCTGATCTCAAGAAAGAAAAGCAACTCCTAAAGGAACAGATACAACAACTTGATTCCTGCACTTTGTCTCTCAAATCTGAACTTCTGAAACGAAGTATTATTGGGGATGAAAAAGAAAAATTAGTGGTGACCAAATCAGATGTGACCAAGATCCAATTAGGCTAAACAGTGAACTATCTTCTGAAAGGGAAAATTCTAGGAGAATGAATCTTGAATTGTCTATAATAAAAGTTGATTTGGAAAGAGCTAATAAATGGACAAAATCCTCCATGATAGTAACCCATCTAGGTAACAATACTAGGAACATTAAAACTGGAATAGGGTATGAACAACCTATAAATAGGAATTTATGTTTTGTATTATTTGTGGTAACTCAAGTCACTCTTAACAATATTGTCCTAAATACAAAGCTACTGGAGAAAAGAAAACAAAAGAAACTTATGAAACTGTTCAGAGTAACATATATATTCCTAGAAAAAATAGTCTGCGCAAAATGGGCTCATAGAGATCTTATTTATCCTTTTGATCAAAGCAAAGGACCTAAGCTAGTCTGGGTTCCTAAACCTAACCTTTGAATTTGCAGAAAAAGTGAGAGGAAGCAGACAACATTCACCAATTGAACATGTTACTTCAGATGCATGATTGAAACTAGAAAAAATTCCTCTCACTTAAGAAAAAAACAAATAGATGAATAACATTGACTAAAAGGGGGGGGGGCTGAAAGAAGCATGTGATGGAAACAGGTCCAACCTATGCAGTATCTAATAGTTATGCACACTCAAATGATCAATCAATCAAAAAAATGATCAGCCAAGGAAAACACTTTCAAAAGGAACAATCTGCAACTAGAAATGATGAAGATCAACTAAGTAATTAGAAGCTGAAGGAATTGGACTTACAAAATGATCATTCCATACTGAAAGGTATGTCTACTCTACTTAATTAAGCTTGGCCAAAATATTAAGACTAATGCACTGGGTCAATAAAAATTTGTCCTAATGATGTTTTAAAAAAAACAATTCTCTTTCTCTAGGTTCAACATCAACAAACCCTATTGAAATATAGATGTGATGATGTGTCATTTTGTAATTGGTTAGTTCAAATGTTAGTTAGAATCACATGGTTGTCACACATTTTCCATTTTTCTGTTATGCATTCCATTTTTGTGTTAGCGTTAGTTATAGTTAGTTGAGTAGTTAGTTTGTAGTTAGTTTTGTAACAAACTAATACCAATTGTAATTCTTTGTATATATAGATAATACAACATGGATGTAAACAAGATGAAATAATAAGAAAAAGGAAGACAGATCACTTCCATATTTTCTCTGCAAACTATCTCTGCGTTTCTTCTTCTTCTTCTTCTTCTGTTCCTCTGTGTTTCCATGTGTGTGTGAGTTCATAAACTCTATATGGTATCAGAGCATCAATCAAAGGATTTCTGAAGGTTTTGAATCTGTAATTTTGGTAATTGTTGAAGCTGCAACAATGGTGGAATCACAGAATACAGAGGTAGAGGACAATCCCCAGTCGAATCACAACCATCCACTTCATCTTCAAGCATCAGACATACCTGGTGCTGCCTTGATTCCAATGAAGCTCACAGGACCAGAAAACTATGGTGTGTGGAGCAGATCTATGCGATTAGCACTACTAGTCAAAAATAAACTTAGATTTGTTGATGGCACATGTGTTAAAAGCTCGTACAAGGGAGATCTGGCAGTTAGATGGGAAAGATGTGATGCAGTTGTGTTATCTTGGATAAGTGCAGCAGTTGCACCAGAGTTGATGACTAGCATAGTATATGCTTCTAGTTCGAAGAAGATCTGGAACGACTTCAAAGAAAGGTTTGACAAATCAAATTTGACAAGGATTTTTTACCTATGGAAAGAGATAAGTATTTTGTCACAAGGCACTAATTCTGTAACAGCCTATTATTAAAAAATGAGAGATCTATGGGATGAGATGGATATAATGGTATCCTATCCATCTTGTGATTGTGTTGAATCTAGTTCACATGTTGAACATGTTAAACAACAAAGGTTATTGCAGTTTTTGGTAGGTTTGAATGAGAGTTATGCTCATGTGAGGAGTTCTATTTTGTTGAGCCCATCTGTTCCGAGTGTAAATCAAGCCTATGCAATGGCTATACAAGAAGAGAGTCAAAGGAAGCTAGGAACCACAGAAGGAGGTAAAGAACCTCTCACAATGATGGCAGGAAGAAGTGCTCAACCACATAATTTCAATAATCAAGTGAACAATAATCAGATGAACTTGCATACTAAGAAGACTCAGAGTCAGAACTCACTTGGTAGAAGGATGGGATTAGTTTGTGATCACTGTGGTTACAAAGGTCATACCAGAGAAAGTTGTTACAGAATTGTAGGTTTTCCACCAGATTTTAAGAGCAAGAGGAAGGGTTCTGGATCTATGAATGAAGCATATGCAAATAATTTTACTTCTGAGTCACCTGTTCCTGGATCTGGATCAGCATCAAGCTTCTATTTCCCAGGAGGCTATTTCACAAAGGAAAATTATGAGCAAGTCACTAAGATGCTATCTCCTACTTCACCTACAGGAAACTGCAGGGCTGGGGCTAATGCTGCAGGTATGAATCCTTTAAATGTTAATGGTATAGGAGATGCAGTGATTTTGGGGAACTGCAAGATAAGAAATGTGTTGCATGTACCAGATTTTAGGTTCAACTTACTATCAATTTCTAAACTAACCAAGGATCTAAAATGTAGTGTGTCTTTCTATCCTGATTTATGTGTGACGCAGGCTCTCTTTACTGGAGAGGTGATTGGGATTGGTAAGGAGAGTGATGGCTTGTATATTCTCAGACAAGAAGTAATACCTACTATTAGAGCAGCATTCAAAAGCAAGAATTCAGAAGAACATAAACTTTGGCACCTTAGACTAGGACATCCATCTTTGAAAGTATTGCAGCATCTACATATATTGAAGAATAAATTGGTAGAGACTGTACATGAAGATTGCTTGATTTGTCCTTTGGCAAAACAATGTAGACTCAAATTCCCTTCTAGTGTTACTCATAGTAATAAGATGTTTCAGTTGGTACATCTAGATGTTTGGGGACCTCATAAAGATCCAACTTATGATAGAAAACAATATTTTTTGACTATAGTTGATGACTTTAGCAGATTTACATGGGTTTCTTTACTGCAAACAAAGAAAGATGTAGTAGTTGTTTTGAGAAGTTTTATAACAATGGTTTGTAATCAGTTTGATTGTGCAATAAAGGTGTTGAGATCTGACAATGGAACTGAGTTCTTTAACATTCAAGTAAATGAGTTGTTGTCCTCTTTTGGTATTATACATCAAAGTAGTTGTGCATATACTCCACAACAAAATGGCATTGTTGAAAGGAAACATAGGCATATACTTGATACAAGCAGAGCTTTAAAATTGCAGTCTCATGTTCCTAGTAGATTCTGGGGTGAATGTGTACAAACTGCAGTCTACTTAATTAATAGGCTACCTACTAGTGTGTTAAATGGACAATCCCCTTATGAAAGGTTGTTTGGAAAGGCTCCAAAACTAGAACATATAAGAGTATTTGGATGTTTATGTTTTGCTACTACATTACCAAGAGGTGGAAAGTTTGAAGCTAGAGCTAAGAAAGCTGTTTTAATGGGTTTCTCTTCCACACAGAAAGGACATAAGCTATATGATCTTGAGGCAAAAATCATGTTCGTTAGCAGAGATGTTGTATTCAGAGAGACAGTGTTTCCTTTTAAGTTCATGCAATCTGCTGATACAGGTCCTTGTCCTTTGCTAGCACCCTTCCTTGATAATATAGATGATGCAAATAATGATGTAAATGATGTAAACTTGGACTCATGTCATGATCATATTGAAGAGAGTTCCAATAACACTGAAAGACTGCAGGAAAGTTCTCATAGTCCTCATAATGAACCTGCAAGTAAGGTGGGATGCAGAAGGACTACCAGAACAAGCAAGCCACCTGTGTGGATCAAAGATTATGTTGTGCCTCATAAGTCTAGTCCTCATTCTATCACTAATCATGTCTGTTATGACAATGTCTCCTCAGGATATCAGTCTTATTTACAAGATTTTTCAGCAGCTGTAGAACCTCAATCTTTTCATGAAGCATCATAAGATGAGAAGTGGATTGATGCTATGAAACAAGAGATTAAGGCTTTAGAAGATAACAACACCTGGACAGTTGTAGACTTACCTCCAGGTGAGAAAGCAATTGGTTCAAAATGGGTTTACAAGATAAAGTATCAGTCTAATGGTGATGTGGATAGATACAAAGCTCGACTTGTTGCCAAAGGGTATATTCAAAGGGAAGGACTTGACTATCATGACACTTTTTCTCCAGTTGCAAAGATGGTTACCATTAGAACTGTTCTTAGCCTGGCAGCTTCTTATGGTTGGGATTTGTCTCAAATGGATGTTAACAATGCTTTCTTACAAGGTGATTTAATTGAAGACATATACATGGCACTTCCTCTAGGCTTCCAAGGACAGGGGGAATCTAAGGTCTGCAAGCTAAGGAAGTCCCTTTATGGTCTTAAGCAGGCTTCTAGACAATGGAATATTAAATTCACTGAAGCATTGTTGGAAGCAGGATACTCTCAAAGTGTTCATGATCACTCTCTTTTTATTAGAAAGGAAGGAACTGAAATGATTGTGATCTTCGTATATGTTGATGATCTTTTGATATCTGGAAATAGCTCCAGAATGGTTCAAGAAGCCAAAGACACATTACACAAAAATTTTAAAATGAAAGACTTGGGAAGCCTCAGATATTTTTTGGGGATTGAAATCTTGAAGTCCAAAGAAGGGTTGTTATTGAACCAAAGAAAGTATGCTTTACAACTAATCTCAGAGGCTGGATTGAGTGGATCAAAGACTGTAAGCACTCCTTTAGAATTCAATCAAAAGTTGACTAGTGTAGAGTTTGATCAACACACTGGTGGATCTGATGATGCAGAGCTAGAAGATGTTACAGCATACCAAAGATTGATTGGTAAGTTGCTGTACTTGACAATTACCAGACCTGACATTTGTTTTAGTGTTCAAGTTTTGAGTCAATTCATGCAGCACCCTAAGGTTTCACATTGGGAGGCAGCATTAAGGGTAGTAAGATATATAAAAAGATCCCCAGGACTTGGAGTAATGCTTAAAAGAGGTACTGTGGTTACAAAACTCACAGGATACTGTGACTCAGATTGGGCATCATGTCCAAACACAAGAAGATCCATAACTGGATACATGGTAAAGCTTGGAGATTCTCTTGTTTCGTGGAAATCAAAGAAACAACAGACAGTAAGTAGGAGTTCAGCTGAAGCTGAGTATAGAAGCCTGGCAGCTCTTGTTGCTGAGCTGATCTGGTTAGCAGGCTTACTTAATGAATTAAATTTTCCAGCTGCTACTCCAATTTCAGTGTTCACAGACAGCAAATCAGCCATTCAAATAGTTGAAAATCCATTTTTTCATGAACGTACGAAACACATCGACATTGATTGTCATTTCATTCGAGAAAAGGTAAAGTCAGGGTTCATTGACATTCAACATTTGTCCACTACCATGCAGCCTGCTGATATTTTGACAAAAGGACTAGGAGCCAATCAACATCATCTCCTCATGACCAAACTTGGTGTGCTAGATGTCTTTCACCCTTCAGTTTGAGGGGGTGTATTGAAATATAGATGTGATGATGTGTCATTTTGTAATTGGTTAGTTCAAATGTTAGTTAGAATCACATGGTTGTCACACATTTTCCATTTTTCTGTTATGCATTCCATTTTTGTGTTAGCGTTAGTTATAGTTAGTTGAGTAGTTAGTTTGTAGTTAGTTTTGTAACAAACTAATACCAATTGTAATTCTCTGTAAATATAGATAATACAACATGGATGTAAACAAGATGAAATAATAAGAAAAAGGAAGACAGATCACTTCCATATTCTCTCTACAAACTATCTCTGCGTTTCTTCTTCTTCTTCTTCTGTTCCTCTGTGTTTCCATGTGTGTGTGAGTTCATAAACTCTATGAACTCAAACTAGTTTTCCAGAACAATGGCATCCTCCTCAAATCTCTACCTTGCTATAATTCCCTTTGATAATCAAGAAAGATTAGTTATTCTACCCGCTGTACTATACATTGATTCGTACGGTATAACCCGACACTCTCTTATGGAAGATGCATCAGTTCAGGGAGAAGGGAAAGATCAGCGTTTGAAAAAAAGGAATATAAATGCACGAAGTAAGGGGGAACACATCTTATCATCACAGGACCGGGGAAATAGCTCCGGTGATGGCAACATTCCTCTGGTTGAAATGCTTTCACAGAGACGATCTCGTTTTAAACACAGTTCTCATTTTTGTCAACCTCTTGCTATGATTCTCCCTGAAGCTCTAGAAGGTCCTTCCTCTACCTTATCAGCAAAAGTACCAGTGCGTGTAACTTGGTCCTTACAACTTACTAGGGATGCAGCACTAAGAAAACTCGCCCAGTAAAACGTAAGTCTTTTCCCTCTTCAACTCCTGCAGAGATTGTTGATGATGTAGTGATACAGTGAATAGTAGGAACCGTAAAAGAAACTCATCTAAACCTAAATGCTTTGATCTCGAAGAATTTGATGATGATTACACTGCTCGAACACTAGCCGTTAGGAATAGAAGTGTGATTAAGGGGAAGATAATTTCTGGTTTTGGAGGTGGTAAGATGGATGAGTTAGTGGTTCTCTTCCAAGCTCAAGGATGGACTGAATTGCTGCTCCAGGGACCCCATGGTCGTAAAATGGGCAGAGTAAAACCCGAGAATTTTATAACAATAAAACAGGGTCTGCGTCTTCACTTTCGAGCATGGTTTTTGGCACATCTTTGACACTTACTGTTGAGATTCTATCCTCGATACTTAATATACCTAATAAGGGATATAGTCACTAT